GGAGCTTGATACAGTCGACAGAAGGTTGCAGCAGACTCTCGACAGTCTGCGCGAGATCACTCTCGAGCCGGCCTTCCGTTCGCAGGAACAGCGGCAGGAGGAAGCAGAAAGAGGCGTGTCCAAAACATTACACGATTTCATCGATGAACATGCCGTAGACGACATCCGGTCGCTACTCAAAGACGCCATTGACAACCTCAGCGCAGCGCAGACGGAGCTCGACGTGTCCAATCGAGCTTTTGATAATGATCTTCAGTCCATCCAGCAGGCCCTGGACAAGTACCGGCTTTCTGTCAAACGGGGCTCTGTCTCCTCTCTCAGCCTGTCTGCTTCTTCGTCTGCTTCCCGTGTCAAGATGCCCACTCCGGCTGTGATACCGGAATTTCTTCACTCACTCGAGCTGAATGCGCAGGAAATGGCAGACCTGCTGGAATCATTGGTCCGTCACTTTGATCTATGCGTTACTGCTGTCAAGCATACAGAGGGAGGCGGGATACTCGCCCGTAACATCACGGGTGACCTTCCCACTGATGTCGGTGTCGGAATCCGGGCCGGCGGGAACCCACAATCTAACACCAGCGATTGCAACAACATCAACAACGATGATGCTGGCAATCCAAACCCACAGCTGGAGCCTCTTACCGACTCAGACTACCGTGATATGATCAACGTCATCGCTAAAGATGCGGGCGAGGCAGAAGATGTCGTGCTCGAAATCCAAGACCGCATAGCTGAGATGGAATCTATCCTGGAAAGAGTGCTTGAACAGCGAGACTCGCTCATCACCGCCGGCGTATCTACTACTGCTGTGTATCGTCGGTTAGTGGAGTTTCAATCAACCCGCCTACTAGGATATGTAGCACAATCCCATAAATTCGAGCAGACATGGAAAACAGAACATGAACGCATGGAGTCAGGTGTGGCCGACCTGAACGACCTGCGAGGCCTGTACATGGGCTTCCTAGACGCATACGACGGTCTCATTCTCGAAGTTGCAAGACGGATGAGTGTTAAAAGGGCTGCCGAAGATATTCTACACGATGCTCGGGCGAGGTTAGATGCATTGTATGAAGAAGATGTTCGAGCACGGGAGGCTTTTAGGATAGATCAGGGTGATTACCTTCCTTCAGATATCTGGCCGGGCCTAAGCATGCCACCCAGCAGAGTTGTATTTCGCAGGATTCGTGAGGATGATGACACTGCTCAAGAGAACAAGGATGAGACGACGTCAGGAGCAAAGCCGGACGATGTCGACCAACAGCATCCCGAGGGCGATGTCCAGCCTACAACCAAACTGAACAGTAGCAGTAAGGGAGATTTTGGCGAGAGTATCCCTTCCCTGCCCAAGCACGTCATAGAGCAAGCATTTGCCCGTCTCAATGCCAGGGGCACACGGCTTCCTCCATAGTCCTATCGTCCTCATCTCAACCTAACAAGCCATATCTAATGTATCTATGCTTTATAATAATCAGTCAAACCCTGCTATAACGTAAACATTCAGAGCAAGTTATTCTTGCCCTGAGAATTGTGCAATCAAAATATATCAGCGTATATATAAAACAACTTCCGGCACCCATCAGAGCTCTCTTTGATCCTCATACCCCTTTCTCCCGTTGCTACTACCAAAACTTACTCTTTTGGCCTGACCTGACGTTCAACTTCGCCTCAGCAGCCACCTATCCAACTCCTTACATCTTCCTCTCGCGCGATAGCGGCAGGGGAGAGCATGAAGCATGAGGTGGGTGGACGCAAGCCCTGTCCAACAGCCAGGGAAAATATGAAGCATCATGACAAGACTAGAGCCAGAGAGAGATCCAATAGTACAGCCAGGGATATACGCAGGTAGGATAATTTCTCCGTGTAAGAGAAATCCCTTTCCATTTTCATCATCTGAGTGCCGGAGTTGTTTTTGCTGGGCAAGCAAAGAGCCAAAGCACATGCATACATACCAGGCTTAATTCTGTGCTTCGGAAGTGAGAAATTCCCCTTGAACACTCTACTTTGCCTTGTTTTGGTCGATCCTCGAACGGGACAGGATAGACGCCGCGGACGGCATGCTATGCCTGGTGGTATCAAATCGCCCAGTTACATAGGTTGAACAAAAGAAGGAATAAGAGGTTTCCGGCATCTTCCAGATCCTTGTCAGTAAATCGTCGATCGGCCAACAGACGGGATCTAAATGTCATGAAGATACTCCGTAGGGATGCTCCTAACGATTCGTAGTCGTCCCTCTCCGGCTTGATGGCACCCCAGAGAAGGTTATTCGGGAAGCGCGGTATACTCTGGTTTTAGGACATTGTAGCACGGGGGCCATCACTATCATCTTGTTGCCCGCCATCGAACCGCCTTCAGTCGTACAGAATTTTGAATTCCTCTAGCCCTAGAAGACAATCGATCTAGCTTCTCTGCTTCTGGGCGTTATTGCTGTCCCATCTTGTTCCATTATTCTTTTTCCTTCCGCACAGCAAGGGACTTCCCCCCTTTTTCTTTTGATCGATATCAGGATGCATAGAGATGCATATGCTGTGCTCATACTCTGTACATGTCAACTTATGCATCTCTGCCCGCAAACTTCGATGTGGCCATTTAAATCTGCATAGTCCATTAGCCTGAGAAGAAATCATATATTGTTGTTTATTCTCTTTTTATTTAACCTTTTTTCGATGCAGACAGGGATCGCTCAGTGCAGGAGGAGGCTTGGCCGCGGCGTCTCCTGCAGCTGTTTGGTGGATGACTTGCCTTGCTTCAATAGCCTGTGGACGATGGAACCTTCGATGCTCCCCCAGACTGGGCGAGGGACCGACCGCAAGAGCCAGTCGATGATGGCGTTGTTCTTTTTTTATTTGCAATCCAGCTAAGGGCGCAAGGGGTAGATTATCGGGGTTTGCCCAGTCAACTAGCAGCGCAGGGGGGTGTGACTGGCTGTTTATGCCCTAGTTATTCAGAGGCTGATATCTGATATTCGAGGTCGACATGTCGCCGTGCGGCGGCCAAAAGTGATCAGGCAGACAGGCAAACGGGCATAAGATCTTCCCATTGCCCCAGCTCGCAGGGACCAGGTCCATATCCATGTTGAAATGGTAGAAAAAAAAAAAGTCGATGTGTAATATTCCATCAAAGCTCTGCGCTCCAGCGTTTCATCGTGGGCAACCCACGAGCTAAACAACCATACAACTGGCTTGTGATATCCCGGAGCCTCCTCCAGCAGGTGACAGCAACTTCGGGCATTCAAAAAGCACTAATTGAGCCTGGCTGCATGGCGCATTGCTGTGGCGGATTCCTGGCAATACGGGCATCCCATCACCCTGTACCCCCATGCGAACTAACTCCAACGCCCAGGGGAACTTCACTAGAGCAGCCCGTAGGAGAGGCACCGGCGCCTGAAGAGTTCGCTGAGGAGAGCAACTCCCCCCCCAGAAATCAAAAATGGCGCACTAAGTAGACCATCGGCTCTGGCAGAAGACGGCTCGAAGGCGCCTGTGGCGATGGGCTCAGGGCGCGCTGGACGGGCTGATAAGGTTGATGGATCCAACTAGCAGCGAACCCGCGAGAGCGCCGCCCACGCCCAAGGGAAAAACACAAGCACAGCAGATATCATCAGGCTAAGCTCTTCAACTTCGGAGCTTAATACCGCTAGATCCACGTACTAAGGACAGCGATGTGTGCAGGTATGGGGACCGATGATGGAGGTGCCCGTATATTATTGTCAAGTAGTTAGTGCCTCGACCAAGGACGGTTTCAAACCGAACTACCCCCTTCAATGGTTGGTCATTCGTCGGAGTCCGGCTCAGGGCCTGCACCGTTCATGTCTATTTTATTTTAATTTTTTTGGTTCCGGTCGCCTCGAAGCGACACATTCGCTATCATATTCCGCACTGATACCCTCCCCCCCCGCGGTCACTTTGACTGGCTGCTCGCTGGTGCGGCTAACTAAATATATAGTTGAAAAGGTTGCCCCTGGACAACTATACACCTCATCCCAGGGAATTATTTTCCGGTTATGCATACACAAATGATATGAGCACGCGCGGGCAGATAATCCTAGCAGCTTTCTGCTTGCATCATGCAGAATGGGGCTTGATAGCTCAACTCACCTCTCTTGTTTCATCCCAGCAGCGGTGGGAAGAGTACTGAGTACTCCGTAGCCCAAACACTTCCTACTACCCATTCGATTGAACATGAAGCATGGAAATCACCACTGGAGAGCAATCCAGGAATAAGAAACGAATCAATGAGGCTTCTGACGCGGGAAACTCCAGAAAGATCTTCAGGATTTTGACGCCCGCTAGTCCCGAGTACGGGAAACGGGCGATAGAGTGAAGCCACAACAAGACCCTGGGCAGAAGTTATTTGGACGGGTCTTACCACAGTCTAAAATGAAAATAAGAAAAAAAAGAAGAAGAAACGAAAATGAGCTACGACACCTGAAGAAGATGTCTCGTTTAGGTTAACAACGGTGGGTGACATTTCGTATAAATCCCCAGAAGACGGGCCCTTCAAGATGGCTGGTCCTGAGTTGGTCCACAGGCTTCGAATAACAATCTCCTTCTTCCCAGAGACACTTGCTTCTCCCGCTTTCTCTAAGCAAAGCTTTATATCAGTTGATTGAAATCGTTGAGACTTCTGCTGCTTTGATCTCGATATTCCATCTTGAGCTCGAACGGGTACCGGTCATCACCCTCAACCAACCATGGATTTGACACCCGTCCTGGTTGAGACATGGACTCTCTATGTCATAGGATCTACCATGATCGGGGCAAGAGTATTTGTTCGAACAAGGCTCGTTGGGATGCAGGGTTACGGCCCTGACGACTATCTTGTCTGGTTTACTTGGGTGAGATGATTCTCCGTCTAATCTCCTCAAAATTATTGATTTCAATGGCTGACATATTAGATAGCTGGTATACACCTGCGTCACAATTATTGCGCATGTATTCTTAGTCCAGGCGGGGGGGAAACATACATCGGTGTTGACAAATGCGCAACGAGCGTCATTATCCATGAGCGAGCGGAAAGATTGGGAATATGGCTCCAAGCTCTTCTCCTTTGGCTTCCTTAGCTATGCCACTATTGTCTGGAGTCTGAAGTTCAACATGCTTTTCTTCTACCGTCGACTTGTCAGAGGCCTGCACATTGAACGGTTCATCTTGCCGGCGTTTGGATTCGTCACAGCAGCGGGTATTGCTTCCATCCTTACTTTCTGCTTGGCATGTGTTCCTTTCACCAAGCTGTGGCAGGTTTATCCAAACCCAGGAGGTTAGTGTTTCAATTTTAATGCTCTTGTTTGGAGAAGACAGACACTGATACAATACACATGCAGGCCAATGCTATCCACAAAACCCTGTCACATTCTACACTGTCGCAGTCCTAAACGTCCTTACTGATATGTGCATCATTACCATTCCTATCCCAGTAGGTCTCTCCCTATAAGCCAAGGCTCTACAGTTTCTTCGTCTAACACTGATCTTTTTTTAGATGGTCTTGCGAGTCCAAGCTAGCATTATGCGCAAAATTGGTCTGATGATGCTTTTTGGTCTCGGCTTGTTCTGTATGATTGCAGCCATCGTTCGTGTCGTTCTCATTTTCAAGCTTCAGCGCCATGGTGACGGAGCCCTATGGTCAATCCGTGAAGATTTCGTTGCCGTCATTGTCGGTCAGGCACCCCTCGTCTACCCAATCACCAAGCCCCGTTTCTGGAAGAGCATCTTCGGCAATGAACGATACGAGGATACAAGCGAGCACAGTCAACAATACAAAGACAGCAAGGCATCATCGAAACGAAAGCCCAAAGACCCCTACATGATTACCCAGACGGAACTCACTATGGTGGACAAGTCAGAAAGCACAGAGGAGATCATGAAGGTTGAAGAAGGAAAGATGGCCGGCGGCATCCTCGTGCAGAGGACTTACAATGTGGATGTTGAAAGCTCGAGATCGGAGTCGGGTCACGAAGATAAGAAATACCCAGGTCAGGCGTTTTAAGGCATTTTTCTTTTCTTTTTTCCATTATTATTATCATCATTAACCATATACCTTTGAGGAGTGCTTACTGAGCGTTTTACGGAGGTCGGTGCTGTTTCGTTATATCGTGGGAGTCGGGAGAATTTTTTCAGTCTCCTATTTTCTTGTAGCCATATTTCAAAATTCAAAATATTATATTATTGCCTTCGATATAAGATGATTTTATTTTTATTTCTTTTTATTTCGCCTTTTGCACTGAACTTAAGCGAGGTTTCCCGCTGTTGCTTCAAACAGCTTCAGATCTTTTGCGTTCTTGGGTACAGACCTTAGGTTTGAGACTTATCATGCTGGAGTTCGTACTCCGAACACCAGGCGGCCCGCAGATGGGGCTGTCCCGTTTTGTTTTGTTGACTTTTCTGTCCTGGACCCCTGAGAGCCACTCAAGCCACCCACGTCCAGCGGATGGAGCACCCACCGAACGAGCATCAACTTACTCGCCTCCGTACCCGGTAGTTGATCTGGCTTTACCAGCCCAGCATGTGAACATATCAAAACGCCCCAACCCCAAACCGTAAACTGTTTTGTTTGTTGACGGTGCTTGTTTTGTTGGCTGCGTGGCTGAATATTTCTCTAAAGCTGACCCCTGTCTTATATAAGCAATATTATACTTATTTAAACTATGTGGACCCGGAAAACCTTAAGAGCAGGGACGGGCCGAGGTTTATCCGTGCGCCTCCTTCCATATGTAGGTTGGCACCTTCTATTTTTGTCCTTGTTGACATCCAACCTTTTGAATATCAAAATTCAATTTCAACTTTGAAGACAACCAGGTACGTAACTACACGAAGCCAGGCCACGGTTATCGGCCAGGGTACTAGGCTATTGGGTAAACAGAGCCTAAACATAAAATGTCTGAGGCATCCGTTCTGAACACGGTCTTCTTCTCAGCTCATCGTTTTGGTGGATGCGTCTCGATACGGGATTTATCTGCGGTCCCGGGTAGGCATTTCTCCGTACCATCATGGCAGCCTTCGAGGGTTAGGTAGCCGTGTTGTTTTCCATACACCAGTTTTCCTTCGATATCACCGTGGTGCCAAGCAGCGCGAGTATTCATGAGAATACTCTCCTCTTGAAAAGCACTCCCTGGTCAACCTGGACTCTGTCGCTTCTCAACAACCGCCCAGAGCTTGTGAGTCAATGGCCTGGTTTCGTTTGTTTTGGAGGAATCCAAACCCCTTGTCAGGTCGCTGCAACACTTACCCGACGTGTTAAGATCAACGTGGGGTTGAATGCATATCTTTATGATGGCTGCGTCCTTGCAGTTCCATTATAGGCTCAACTCGTTCTTTACCAGCCAGAGGCCATGGTTGATTTTTTCGTGAAGCTATCGTATATGTATGAGGAATGCCACGTCAGGAATGTCATGAAGATGTGCATGCTCTCCTGTCGAATCTAATGAGCGCCTTTGACTCTCATATATGTACTCTGCATACTCTGGGCTGTCACAGAAGAACCTCAGCTTTCTGACCTTGATCTCAGCCTCATATTCCCCACCAGGATGAAACACATGAAAACACACTCAGGCATGCACTTAAGAAAGCTACACATGCCAATGAACCCAAAGGGAGCGGCCATATTTGCCCTCATCAAGAGTACACAGTAAGATACAGACTTGTTTTCTCTAACCCATCACGGAAGCTATCACCCTTCTTCAATTGGAGGTCGGCAAGCCTCTGGACCTGACTTGGGTCTTTCGAGAAAGGAGGACGCTTGAGCCGCCTGAAACCCCCACTTAAAGCGCAAGTCGTTCTGTGAAGGTTCAAAATACAGATTGGACTATCAAATTAACACGGCAGAATTTGAGCTAAGTAGATCATCATGGCCTAGCGATGGGCTTGGCCAATTCCAGCAATGTCCTAATCCAGCCACGGGACTATGTGCGGGAGAAGAGGAGATAATCTTTTCTTTGTGTTCGGCGCAGCATGGCATTTATACATCGATCCACCCTCTCGGAGTATTTTCGGACGTTAAGTCAAATCTCGATATCAATGCGTAACTAATGTATGCACCCGAGGAGAACTACCCAAATGATACTTGGAGCCGGCTACTCTGTATTGTGTTTACCCCTTTTCGAACTTCAGTCCTCATGCAGTACGAAAGAGATAACTTGTTACACATCAGTATACTGCTATAAGGCGTTCATAGCTTTCTCGGGTTACTCCCGTTTTGAGCGAAAATTACTACACAAACAGCAAAGGGGCTAACGACATTTTTTTTGCCCATCGATTGTTAATCTCTAAATCAACGACAGCTCCCGATATTCTCGGTGAAAGGCCCATTCAATAGCCAGTATTCTGGGTTTACAGGACCATACTCAGTGCTTCGAGCTCCTAAAAATTACTCCGTACAGTGCGTTTATTACTCATTGTTCACTGGTGGTTAACCACCGCGATATCATAGGGCAATCTCGGGCGTCATCATTAGTTTATCTAGTGGAATAGCATGCACAATGCTTAAAAAGAGAAGAAAAAGGAAAAGGAAAAGAAAGTCAATGCATGTGAAAGGAGAAGGAAAATCATCCAGGTGCGAACACGGCCGTTAACTAGTCAAGGAGACCTTCTGGTTAGTGTAATTTTGTCCCCGATTTGCAACTACCTCATGGTACATCCACTCGCCCACATCTGCGCGCTGGATGGTGTATCCTACTGCCGGCTTATCATCGGTTCCAACCCTGAGAGTCTTCCATCCCTTCCCGGTGGCAATATTATAATCTCCCGTCAAAAGCGAAGGTCGGACCGACATGACACCGCGGAACACTCGAGAAGTAGGCGTGGGATCAGCAACAGCATTGAATATAGCCTCCTCCATCTTCAGTTTATCCTTGTGCGGAACTGCGAGGAAATAATGGTATAGCGGCCTAAAGGCCAAAGGAACATCCTCTGTCTTGCTTATTCCGGTGGTTGATACAACAGTGAGGAATGGCTGGGTCTTGGGCATTCCGCTCCCATGAGAAGACTGCACCTCCTTTACGGCTGAAATGATGTTGTTCGTTGCTTTTTCGCATACATTCGGATCATTCAGGGTGACTGGCTGCCATATTGACGCTTGTAGCTTTGGGGTTGATCCAATACCGGAGATGATGGTTGGTACTAGAGCTCCATTATTGCAGGCTGGAGCTACAGTTCGCTTGACTGCTTCGATATCGTTGACATCTCCTTGGATAACGGTGAGCTGGTTGTCGATGACTGACTGCTCGATGCCTTGGACCTTAAGTTGATCTGTCAACTTCGACGGTGTGCGTGCAAGGGCGACAACGTTGTAGCCTCCCTTAAGCGTGTGGGCGAGGCAAGAGTTCGCACAGCCGCCGGTTGAGCCGATGAAAGCGATAGGACTGGCCATTCTGATCTGTAGAAGATGGTGAAGAAAAAACTGGTAATCAACTGAGGAGAGACAAGTTGGTATGTGTTATGCTTGTTATCTGGTATCTAATGGTTATTTTATAGCTTATGATGGGGAGACTGAAGTTTTATATAGTTGTGGAATAATTATCCGTTCATTATCGGATGGAGGATCATGTACCTGTCGAAGGGCAGAGGTACCCAACCATTCACCTGCGATGAAGCAGCCACTGATAACATCATCCCAGGCAGTACACTCCGTCTCCGAGAAAGATGTTTCAAGGCCATCGTAACGGAGGGAGTAAGTGGGCGGTGCATCCAGTCGGCGGTCCATAATTAGGCGAACGGGTGAATATCAAGCCGAACGGCCGCCTGCTGGCCATGGAGCCGGCTAAACTGGGAGCTTAACCGTCCAGCCTCATTCTTGCCGCAGTGATCTCTTGCATCATATAGAACGCCATCCGGCGCTTAGTGCGTATCAAGGCACCAAAATAACCAAAGCTTGCGATGCTGCAGTGGTAGTTATCCTAGCAGAGCCACTACAAGAGACGTCAGTCACTAAGACTTAATTTGGCAGCCTAATTCACTGCTACAACAACTCAAGTTCATCTATTCTTTTTCGTCTCAGCTCTATGCGTGCATATCATAGTCTACCTAAGGGAAAGGGAGAACAGCGACGCCTCTCTCACCATTCTTGCCGCGGGCTCTGATGCCGAAAATGACATTGTCCTTGCTGAGGTCTATCGTTGCCTCCTGAACCATCCCTACGTCCATCTTATGAGTCCAGAACGGAGCAGTGGTGCTACGCCAAACAATTTCATATCCCCCAACCAGGGCATTACCGCCTGCCGGAGGATCCCAGCTGAATTTACTGTCATTTGAAAGCGCATTGGTATTGACACGCACGTTCCGTGGCATACCTGGCGACATTGCCAGGTTCCAAAGGGCGGCCGCGTTGACTTTACCGACTCGTGAAATAAAATCAAAGTCGCAGAACTCAGGCAAATCTCCATACTGAATGTCCTTGCCAGTTTTAGGATCCTTGTCAATCCGAATATCCTGATGTTGGTGCGCATAGTTCTCGTTTGGCTCTGTGAAACGTGCCGCTGGGTATCCAGCCTCTAGGAATGGACGATGGTCACCACCGCGTAGGTATCTGTCTAGTCTGTAGATGACCGAGACTTCCATATCCGTATGTTTGTTTTCTGCAGTCTCTTTGACGAAGCGTGCCAATTGACGAGCAGGAGTATCATTATCACCTCCAATCATAATACGCCTCTCTCGCATTGCCTGGTTTTCAACATTGAGAGGTGGTATTCCCTGGGCAAAGAGGCGGATAACATGCGGTTCTTTGGTGCCGTCATCGGCTGTTGATGAGCCGATGATATCGTTTGTAAACATTCCTTCAACATTGGTGGAACTATTACGGAATGATTGAGCTAGGAAATTAGCTCCGTAGAGGCCTTGTTCCTCGCCTGCGACTGCAGCAAAGACTATCGTTGCCTTTGGACGAGGAAGATCTCGCTGTGACATCACACGCGCAAGCTCGAGAGAGACAGCAACGCCAGATGCACTGGTTAGTACGCCATTAGCTTTTCAATTTGTACACTTCCGTTGTCCCTGCTGTAGAATAAAGAGAGTTAGAAGAGTATTGAACGTACTCGTCGTTTGCTCCTGGAGCAATACCCTTATAATCGAGCGGATCACTGTTCCTAGAGTCATAGTGACCCGAAACAACGTAGACTCTCTCCGGATCTCCCTCTCCCTTCAGCGTAGCGACCACATCACTGATCCGAACAGGGAAAGGTATACGGTTACCATCCGGCTGCTGGTCATATCCCACTACTTTGACGGTCAAGCGGCCATCGCTCGCATTCGCATATCGTTGGAATTCTGACTCGATCCAGTCTCTTGCTGCCCCGATGCCGTACGTTGCGTTGGTTTGTGTAGAGAGAGTGTGACGGGTGCCGAATGAAACCAATTTTCTGATAGTAGCTTCTATTCTCTTGGGCGAAATCTGAGACAGGATTTTCCTGAGGTCCTTTGAAGGCTCCTGGGGTGTATTCTCACTTCCAAGTTTGACCCTTGGCCATGAAGCTGCAGGACAGGAGAAAAGAGATTCGTGAAATGGGTTTGACATCGCGATAGTGTACTCTCGTGGTAGAGCCAGGACAAACGCATGAAGAGATGTCAGCAGGGCCAGGCCTGACAGCAGGCTACTTATTAAGAAACGCATTCCGAAGAGCTGTCCCAGCTATAATGACAGTTAGAAGCAGATAATTACTGTAGAGAAGATCAGGTAAAGAGAGGGAGGGGTAGACGGGCCGCAATTTATGAAGCAGTCCTACCTTAACCCAGGACAGAGCATTGTATAAGCTCGCACCGCTTGAAGCCGAAGGAACCGCAGGATTCTGACTCGATGCAAGGAATCTCCGCCTTGGTTTAGCTGTAGCGCCATCTCAAGGCGTCGGTTAAGCTGCCGGTAGGTTGTTCTCTTTGAGCGTTATGCCCATGCTAGCACTTATATTTAGCTGGCAAGGCAAGCCGGGATAAACCAATGTTTCCCCAGCCAAGGGGCCAGGAAGACCGGCGCCTTATACCCAATCAGGCAGGAGAATGGGCTGTGTGCATGAATAATACGACAAATAAGAGATTTGAAGCTGTCGGTTTCAGGGGTTGGGATGGAGGGCTGCCAAAGCCTCGATGTTGCTTTTTGATAATTAACGAAGATCCGGGGTAAAAGTGGAGCGCCGAGGTTAAGTCGCTGTCGACAGGCAAAGGGGGTAAAGAGGAATATTTGATTATACCTGATTCTTCTTTGAATATATCGCACAATAATATACTGGCGAAGAAATTATGACCTTCAAGTCCGATATAGAAAGCCGAAAGTGGCATTAACGTCATATTGATAGATGGTGAACACTTGACAGTAGGGTAAACAAAATATAACGACGTCCTGAATTTGGCCTGCCTGCCACTGGAGATATGTATATTCTGCGACACTACTATCGTTTTAGCTCATCAGTATTTTAAACGAGGGAGGGGGAAGACAGGTGAGAGAGATAACGTATTTAGTATTATTAGTATTTTCTTAATGTATATTTAACATGATATTATACTGACCGCAAGATCGGGCTCTTTTTACCCAGAAGACAGCCTCTAAAACAAAGACGGATGAGTGTATAAAACAGAGCGGCCCTGATTGTGTAGAAAGAATAGCCGAACCACTGGCACAGGCACTGTTCCTCCAGAGGAAAGAAATCGAATAGACAGTGAGGAGAAAAAAAAAATAATATATACTGTCACAGAATTCATTAAAAGAGGCTATGCCGTAAATGAAAAAGGGCAGCTGGGAATGGAGGCCGAAAGAAGATGCAGAGGCTTCTATATATGCGATGCTGTGTTCTCATGAAATAAATAGACCGTCATATGTACGTTGTTGCGTATGTTAACTAACACTCGCTGTAACAGGCGAAATGGAATCAAGGGAGCTTCTTGATGTGACCGTTCGAAAAGTCGGTGTCGGCGAAGTCGGGTAGACGGGTTATCCGATCGATGCTTGGTATGCAAAGGCCGTTTCCGAAGAAATAGAGCACCACAAGCCAGGTGACGACGAAGTTGGCAATATGGTGTAGCAGGTAAGCGTATGTGACGCCGTAAATCGCGGCGTATACTGCAAGGAAGAAAAACAGTCCGGATGTGATATGTTTGAAGCTAAAAATGACGTTAGACCAAGGCTTGTCGAGCAAAAGGGACCAAATGTAAGGATACTTACTTCGAGGTAATCCGGGGTATCATGACTCCGGTGGTTAGGGTTTCGACGAGAAGAATGAAAGGCATTATTGATAACACATTATGGTGAGAGGAGAATGGCGTGAACCAGTGTACGGCGAGGTTGTGGCCCCAGACGATGAGGACAGGGATGTTTATCGGAAGAATCCAAAGCATTAGGACGAGAATCGAATGTGCAAAGTTGCTTAGGTTGGCATGATTGCCCGATCGCTAGGGCCAAGTCAGCAATTACCGACTAATGAAAGAGTCTGGGTGCCTTTACTTACCGTTTCACGAGCATGAGAAGAGGCCTGGACACAAGTGATTAACTGAACGATACAAGCTACCACGTACGCAAACTGGTACGGGATGACAGTAGCTACTAGGAACAGCAGAATCACGGCATTAACTATCCTATGTCTTGTAGATAAACTCCACAGCAACGGCGCAGCCCTATATGTGGTTAGCATGTTTACTGGCCGCGATCCATGAACAAGCCAACTTACTTTCCGTTTTCATGCTTAATATAGCCCTGTCGAGCAGCCACAGTGGATCGAAGAAGCCCAAGGAGATAGATGATGGCTGTGGCAGCATAATGAACAACAACACATGCACCAACGCTAATAATGCCGAAAAGAGGCACCAAGAACCAGAAGAAAGTGTCCTGAGAGCCTAGCAGAAGATCATTCTTCCCATAGTCTATCGGCGTCTCTGTTGCGTTCGACTGCCAACTTGACTGTACCCCCTGGGTTACAACGGACTTGGATGTTGCCAGAGTGGTAGCCAAAAGTGAGAAGCCAAGGAAGGTAAGAGGTAAAGAAGACCGAATACATAGTTCTAAACTTTCGGAAAAGTTGATAAAAACGCCTATGCACAGTAGTAAGTAACGGGAGCGCCAGATAGTGCTAGTTGAGGCGGTCTTACCTGTTTGATCGTATACTCTAAATTGCTTGCGGAGGACCATTGCGACAATAACCAGAGGGAACGCAGCAAAGACAGTTCGATATCTCATTGCAAGTCTACCCAAGCTTCCTAGCACATCCACTTGCAGTGATATTTGAAGTGGCGCGCTGCAGCTCCGATCTGACCACAGCTCAAAGGATATGCCACTTCCGGCTGCATTGTCCCTGATATGTGGAGGCATATAGGGCGCAACTCCATGGAGGTTAACGTCAATCGCTTTTACGTTGACGAAAAACTTGGATTCATAAGGATCAGATATATACTGGCGAACGATGGGCGCAAATAGCTCCGAGTCGGGTTTGCATCCTTGCCTGTTGAGCTTAAGCTTATAGGCGAGCAAGCTGGACTGCAGAGCTGGAACCTTGATATCCGTCACCATTGGTCTGTCGGCTGGCAGCAGGATGGTTAAGCCAGCGCTAAGAAGCCGACCCAGGCTAACTCTAGTCGGAATTACTGAGTCGGAGCTGTCAGAGAACTCCGCGATCAGAAACCCGGGAGTAGCTTTTTCGTGCTTATCAACGATGGCCACAAACTGATACTCCGTAAGGTCTTCTAGACTGTATTGGAAATACGAAAATGGTTGAGCGTCATCAAAAGCGGCTTTTGAATTCTTGTTTGATGCTGGAATGTATATCACGTCCTCATAGCTGCTTTTGCACACCAGCCGAGGTGAAGCAGCGTTGCCACCGGATAGATCAAGATTCAAGGAAAGCAACGTCGCGGATTGCCCAGCGCGGGAGGGAGGATCACTGCAAAACAGAATTTCAAGCTTTCCGGACCCCGAAGGTTCGACCCGTTGATCTGTCAGGAGGGTAAATTTTTTGCCAGGGACGCCTCCTCTTGGGGGGACAGGGATTAGATGGGCTTTAGGGCCTTCGTGATGGCCGAGTCCGTGCAAGACCAGGCGTTCACCTTGTTTTAGCATTGCGTTGGCATTTTCTTCAAGGGTCAATAAAGTAGTTGGTTCTATGGTTCCCGTTAGTCTGGTGATAGCGGATGTAACACAATATTGCTTAATCTTACCTTTACTTGGCAGGAGTTTATCAGCATTTGGTTCGATCCCGGTAAGAAACCACTTCCTGAATATACTCATGCGTTCGGCTCGCTGCTTCGTTTGGGTAGCGCGCCGAACGTCAATAACATCAAAGAGGGCTCGAACAACGGCTTTTCTGAAGGAATCACACCATGCAATTGAAAGGTGATCTACTCCGGTCCAAACGTTGGGAATTGTACTGGTGAAAACGGTGAAACCATGGGTATCGGGCACCAGGGAGGATAAGCTAGTGTAGTCTGAGGGTACAATGGTGTCCCCTCCACCGCCAGCAATGGATATGAGGGTGACATGCCACAACGGGTTATTATTGGCCCATCTCTCTGAATAGGCTTCGCGCCAGTAGGAGTTGATCTGTTTATAGGTGCTCATCAGGTCTGAATCGAACGATACGGGTGGTCTGGCGTGTGGTGTGGACATGGTGATGATGGAATTCACAGAGTTGGCCTGATAATTGGCCATAGTCAGGACTGTCCTGGCGACAATTCCCCCCATAGAGTGACCTATCAGTATGACGGATACTGGGTCTGGCAGATCGGTATCTCTTCTAGCTCGGTTGGGATCATGGTACAGCGAGAGTATGTAGGACAGGGCGTCGTTGATGTATTCTGCCTGGTCGAGGATTGTCTGGCCATGGAAAGCAGCCATGTCTTCATTGAAGTCTGCCATGAAGAAATCCAAGCTCCTGGTGCCGACCTTGACCCGGTCTTGGTCATGTTGCAGTACATTATGAAAGTACAAGGAGGCTTCGGAAGCAAGCGACCGTCCCTGTCGGTAGCTTCCTGCGTTTCCCGGGAGGAAGAGAACCGGAACTCCTTTGAGCTAGAGGAACGGAATCCATGTTAGTTAGTTACCATTGACATTTCTAGTGTCATCAAAGTCGCAAAAAAAAAGGGTAGCATACCCCAATATCTTCCTCGCTGTAGTCGTCTACACCTCGTTCTCGGTACAAGTAAAGATTGTACTTGCTAGCGAATCGGGTATGTTCCGTATCAAATCCACCCAATTTGATATATGTTGGCAGCATACTGGGCGTCTTGCATCCTTGGGAGTCGATCTGAAGCGTCAAGTACGATTGCACAATGCCAAAGACCAGGAGCAGACCAAGGATAGTAACGATGATAGTCGACACCGGAAACCCACAGGCGGTTCGCGACCGAGGCCGCCGCAGCCGCTGTGACTCTACCGAGTTTTCCATCATCTGTGTATAATTTTTTTTTCTATTAGTATTATAATTTCGAGTGTTCTCGAGAAGCCTCCGAAGCCGAGCTCTGGCGGTGGTTTGAAGCTGAAGTCGAAGCTCGATATCACGTCGCACAGCGGGCGTTCTGGTCTTCCAAGCTATTCCGTCCTGTCTGGTCGGTTCGGAATTCCACTCGAGCAATGCTACCTCCAAGTGAATCGCGGCAAATAGCTTTTGGTCGTCAATCCCATTTCCATTCAAGCTGCCACCGGCAGTTATCAGAGGATCATTGCGGCCCGGCTGCGAGACGTCTTCGGTAGGTAGCTGTTCGAGGGGCTGAAGCAGTGTTTTTCCTTTCTCTTTCCTGCCTGCAAGCTGTTTCGTCGGTTCAAAGCTGGCAGCAGGAGAAGCGGCAGCAGGTCGAGAGCGCGCGAGAGCCCTCCGGCACGAGTCTCTGCCTCCTCGTCGAGTGCTCAGGGGACTTGGAGTCGCTCTGCGCGAGGATAAGAAGAAATTAAAAAAAAAAGGGAGACGCGGGAGAAGTTTTGGCGGCCAAAGAAAAGTCGGAGCAGCCGCTTTTTGATATGCTGAGTCAGCAAGGATAGCTTTTTGCTTGTGAAAAAGAACGACGACGACGACGAAGGAGAAGAAGCAAAGACGAAAGCAAAGACGAGAGCAAAGACGAAAGCAAAGATGGAGCAGCAGAAGAAGGCGAAGAAAGGCGAGCCTCAGAGAGGTTGAAACGCGCGGACAGCAAGTCAACAATAACGAACGACCGCTGACTCCGGCGGCGATCCTGCTGTCATTTCGTTAACTTCGCGGCCAGAACAGCCAGATCGGAGGAATTAATGACAGGGCGGCAGGAGATTTAGGCCTGTCGATATAATTAGAGCCTGCGCTCGTTTTCCTGCCCGGGATCTCCTCTGTCAATATTACAGCCTGCTTGCGGCCGGGATGTAGCGTTCTACAGAGTTCTATTGCGAAGGTTCGGACGGGCCACCCCTGCGAACGTTCTGTGCCTGGTTGTGGTCACCCGCAAGCGAGGGGAATACGAGCTGCTTATGCACGAGATGGTTTGGCCAAAAGAGCCTCTCGGGAGCCTTGCAATAAAAACCGACTTTGGTCAGAGCCAGACGGTACTTGGAGAATATGGAGAATCGACGTCAGATGGTCCCCTTTTTCCCCAGCAGGCCGTGCCACACAGGCAGCAATGTGGGTACAGGCACAAGATCAAGATCGCATGTCAGTGGACAAGAGCTTCGCAGCTCATCCTGGGCATTGGGCCGTGGTGGCAAGGGAGAGGAAGAGCACGCGTGTGTGTTCAGATTAAGGAGACAAACGCTGTTCCGTGCAAGCCACCAGAGAGGGCCGTTCATCTTAACGACCTCGAATAGAAACCAGCTTCCAGGTACTAAACACCATTGTTTCGAATGTTCTACTAACGAATAGGATAGATGAGTGTATGGAGTACTCCGTAACTAGTTATTATTTTGCTGACGGGTTCGGAGCACATCTAAAATCTCGAAACAATTGCCAGCAGGTTTAGGGGCGGAGAACGGGCCATCGCCGAACTTGCGAAGACGCGCAAACGTGGACCAGGATACGGGGTCGGAGATGGCAATAATAACAATCATTCATACCTGATCAGTGTGAACCCTTCCGCTTGCGGTGAAAGGGGCCTCTCGTGGATCGCGGTATGACATCAAGGGGCCCCTGACGGTCCAGAGTAACTACGGGGTACGGGGTAGTCCGTACAGAGTCTTCAAATCATGGCGTTCAGAGGTATAAACAACACCACAGTGCACTCCCATTTGCTCCTTTTACTCTCTTCTCTGTAGAGGAGAAGGGGGAGGAAGAGGAATAATAATCGAAAGATGAGCGTGTCGCGTGTACTACTGGCCGCAGCCCGCAGCGGCCGCTTTAAAATCGGCCTTTATTTATCATGCATTGCTGGAGTTCTTTTTTTCATGGTTTTCTCGCTTTGGTTTGGGATGAATTCAGACAGAGATAATGTGCATCCGCTGCTCACACATATTATTCCGGCAGGCCATTGTACATGCCAAACATCAACAACGTTCAATTGCTCAGAGTCACTAGCAACATTGCCCAAGAAGCAACCATCTAGCCCAGCGCCAGTCCCGTCAGCAGACTGGAACTTTGAATTCGATCGGGATAAAGCAAATGTGAACCTAAGCCCCTTGCAATGCAAAACTGCATTCCCAGGGCTCTTCGAAGACCCATATCGGGCAGCAGCATTTTGGGATTCTCAGCCCGGCATATCTACCGAACATCTAGACAAAATCGAACTCAAAAATGGCATGGCCCGAGCCATAATACACCGGGGCGAGCTTTATATAGTCGCCACACAAGCAGCACAAGAAGACCACAGAAAGAAGATACTAGCGGTCCTAAGTTCCATGCATCATGCCTTGTCAGCTACAGCAGGAAACAGAACACAGCCCAGCATCGAGTTTGTATTCTCCATTGAAGACAGGGTTGATGATATTTCTGGGACAGGGCATCCCATTTGGGCCTTGTCCAGGAAGGCCTCCGAAGAGTCAATATGGTTGATACCCGATTTTGGGTTTTGGGCATGGGATAATGCAGCAAATGCCATCGGCCCTTATAACCAAGTGGTCGACCGAATACAGCGACAAGAGGTTACTGTTCCTTGGTCATCGAAGGAGAATAAGCTGGTTTGGAGGGGCAAGTTGAGCTTTGCACCGAAACTAAGGCGGAACTTACTTGATATCGCCCGGGATACGAGCTGGGGTGACGTCAAGGAGATTGTATGGAGCGAAAAGCAGAACTTCATTAGCATGGATAGCCATTGCAAGTATAAGTTCATTGCCCATGTTGAGGGTGTGTTAACTCCCATTTTTTTAACGGCTCTCCATTAACCCCAGCTAACCAACCGCATATAGGTCGAGCGTATTCCTCCTCCCTGAAATATCGACAAGCATGCCGCTCTGTCGTCGTAGCGCATAAGCTCCAATTCATCCAACACCACCATTACCTCCTTCAATCCACCGGGCCATACCAGAACTTCGTTGAGGTAGAGCGTGATTTCTCAGATCTACCTACAAAAATGGAACATCTACTGTCAAACCAAGACCTCGCAGAACGAATTGCAAATAACAATGTTAAGACGTTCAGAGAACGCTATCTCACCAAGGCTGCCGAGGCGTGCTATTGGCGAGAACTCTGGGCAAGCTGGGCAAATGTATTCAATGCTGTTATAACTGATAGCTTTGCAGATAGGGGATTACGGTTTGAGTCTTTTCTGCTTCTGGAAAGTCAGAAAATGATGGCGTTTTCGCATTCTAATGTCCGTGATGTATAAAATTGTTTTGGCTCACTGCGGCTTAGTTATTCGATACACCTGACCAATAGAGGGTTATCATCAATTTATCATTCAACTCCTGGCAGCTTCTCAAAATCCACCCAAAGTTTGGCTACATACCGTTAAATATAGATCATTCGCTGGCTACATTATTCAAACAGTCTAGAATCTAATGAAACATCCGTGTTCAACTATTTGACTAAATGAAAGGGAAGTTGAGTTCTCAAAGTGAACTAAGCATAATATACAAGCACCTTGACAACAGAGCAAAGCCAGCTTTGCTCTGACAAGTATATAAACAACAGCGCATCGCTCCACAGCCCCTTCGAAGTGCCTATGGATCTTGTCCCTGAGCGAATTAGCTCTTTTCTCGGAGCCCAACAAACACGGTCAGCTTGTTAAGGGACCCTTCCGCATGTCTAGTCCACGTAATGACCTTATTTATTTCCTTATTGCCGATGGCTTTGTGATGGTTTTGGAGAATCAGGAGCTTCCCAGCGATATTGTCACTTCCAACGATGGTTTTGAACAAGCCATCCATCCCGGGATCGTTTGGGTCTGGCTTCCAAACAGCTTTCTGATTGAGAGGAATTCCCTTTTTCTCATAGGCCTCACGTAGAATTTTCCAAGTTCCCCGGTTCTGGATATCCCGTAGTATCAGCCCTTTGAGATTCTTCGTCTTTTCTTTGGCAACTTTTGCAAAGCACTGCCAGGTTATTTCGTTGTTTGGAATTCGTTGCGGATGGCCCTTGGGGTATGGGATAGCATCCTTGAAAGCCGTGTTTGCAATTATGAACTCTCCGTTTCTGCTGTATCCGCCATGGTTCACTTGAAGTGCTGCCTGGGAAACATGCTTTGATCGAATGGAGTACTCTGTCCAACTTGTATGTGCTGCAAATTCAAAGCCGGTATCTTCCTTCTTGAGCAGGTTAAGGAGCTCAGGATGCTGGCTTCCTTTTGCGCCGAATGTGGGCTGCGCTTCATACAACTCGGCCATAAAGAGATTGTAAAAGGACCGTGGGGGGTGAACATCTTCGTCCTTGCTTACTATTGTCGTATCAGGATCATCTTTTGTGATCGCCTGCCGGAGGCTCGCAAGGTTCTGTGTGCCCTTGTCTTTATAGTCACCAATAGGCCGTATATCGCCCAGTCCGAGACCAGTACCGAGAGGCTCAACCTCTAGCCCTCCAGATCCAGAGCGGCTCCCTCCGGGCTTTCCACCAGAATCCCCTCCCGACCTATCACCTGGCTTTGTTCCTGGTTTACCACCAGGTTTGAAGATGATCGGAGGGCCACGGGGTATAATACTCTCTAAACCACGTCGAGGTCAGTACTGTATCACACTAACAGAAGTTGGACGTTCAGCGGTCACGCACCTGGACAATGAGCATCGTCACAAGAGATATCTAGCCCCGTTGAACTAGTCACGACCCGGCCAGCAGCCAGGAATGGGAAGCCGAGAATTACACTTGCAACTGCAAGCTTCTCGGGGGAAAAGAACCGCATGGTGCGTATGCTTTGCTTATACCCTGGAAACGTAACAAAGGAGCACGCACGCCGGGGTAATCATATAGAAACTGATCAGTATCAAAAGTTCGAGTTGCATGCAGGAGAAGGCTGCTGGGGTGTTTATTGAGCCAAAGTACTATGAGATGGTGGGAGAAGCCCAATGTCTTATAGACCTGCTTTACAGCCATCTTATGTTATTTTGGAAAAGCCCAGGGGTATCTCTGAGTAATTCGCCCGCAGGCTATCCCAGCACCATGACAGTTGGACTAGGAGGGCTGGGTAGCCATCTGATGGGCCCAGCGCCAGCCGGGAATCATTGACCATTTTGCACAACACAGGGTAGTTAACAATGTAACAAACAATTTTGAACCAACGGACCAACAAGTTAGGCAGTGTCTCTAGGAGCTGACTGGCGGTATATCAATCATGTATGTGGATGACAAGATGTCGATTATCAGCAAGCAGCTAGGCATGTTATCATGTATGTAGTTTTTCCCCTGAACAAACACGGCTGGCGGTTAACTACTAAGCATGCAGTTCATGATTTTGTTAGCCGGTCAGGGCCCGTCTGAGATCCCATTAGTAACAACTTACAGGCTCTGATATTTCGGCCCCCATTCTGACATGCACGACTCGTCCAGGGTGTTGTTTGTTTCATCTGTCATCAAGACACACTCTCTTCATAGAATTAGTTTTACTTAGCCTCTCCTGCTTTTTCTTCGTGATTCTCCCAGCATAATTATATCTCTCGCCATAACAGTTAGCTAGCCTGTTCATGGCATCTATATTAAAACAACAGGTATATACCAACGTTGTTCGCAAGTCTCACTGAAGTGTCACTGAAGCGTTAAGTAAATATGCGTCTTACCGAGTTCCCGGAAGAGATCTTCACTTTGATAATCGAATATGTGGTGGGGACTGTTGGCCTGATGAAGGCATCACGGCTCCGGCGAGTAGACAGTACGATTTGCCCCTGGTAGTTAGTTATCGCAATCTTGGTTCGAGTTTATGACTGACTGGATCGTTGCACTAGGACGCTTCAATAATACAATTATATTTGCCATATGTGAGCGCCAGATTGTGGATATACTTGATCCAGCCGTTGGGGTGCTCGCCTTTATGACCTCGCCGTTGCTCGGCAGGATCCTTTTGACAAAGTCTCGGTCCACAGCAGCTATCAATATCGCAGCGCTGCATGTACTTTCCAGCGTCAACCAAGGCTTGGATGAATTAACCCAGCCTATGGGCTATACTCGGTTGCAGCGACATTTAATGATCGGTGAAGCTATAGCTGCTAATCTCAAGAATGCCACTATAAAAAGTACCTACGAGGGTGTCAATCTCGGCCATCATAGACTGCTATGTAGCTCGATGATAGCCGAGAATCATTCACCTCAAGATTCCGTATTTGCGTCGATAGATCGGATATATAATCTCTTCTGCGGGGCAATTATCACTGGAAATATATCCCTAGTGCAGTCTATGGCAGCATCGGTGGATGTTAACGCGTTGAATGTGTTTTTCGGTCGACCATTAGGACTGGCTGCCGTCTGGGGACACCTCGATATAGTTCGATATCTCCTTGATCATGGTGCCGATCCACATATCATTGCCGAGCGATGGGAGCGCTGGGATAACGATATACTGACCATTAACAACGGAGTATATGAACACGAATACCGATGTCCAGGTGGGAGTGCCTTGTCGGCGGCGGCACTTGGTGGCAACAAAGAAATTGTATCTCTACTCCTTGAACCCGAGTTCAGGCTCTCTCCTTCCTCATCGGAGTATCATCGAGCTATTCTCTGCGCGGTACGGATAGGACGTACTGATATCGTTGACATGTTTCTCGAGGTGCAGGGTATATCTATCTATGACCTAAAGCATTTCAAAGATCTAATGCTCTGGGAGGCAGTATGTCACAATCGAGAATCCATGGTCCAATTGCTTGTCGACAATAGCGCGGACATCAATAGGGATGGCCCTCTAATTCGTGAGCACGGCTGTGCCCTCCACCTAGCCGCGCAGAACGGATATGATAATTTGATCCGGCTTCTTCTGGACCAAGGTGCCGACATAAGTTATGTATCTTCCTACAAGTCCCTCACGCCCATGGGATTTGCGGCCCGAGGGGGGCATCTAGAAGCCGTACAGGTGCTTGTCGAGTATGGTGAGAAATTGGAGCATGCCCTGGTCCCTGCTGCGTCTACAGGTCAGTCTCATATGGTGAAATGGCTCGTTGAGAAAGGGGTTGACCTTAATTACTGCCACTACGACGAGAACATTGGAATCCAGGCGCTTGTCCAAGCTATAATGGTCAAGAACTTGGGCATAATATCCATTCTAGCAGCGGCTGGTGTTCCGCTCAATAACGATGACTCGGACCTTTCACGGGATCCTGTATGGGTCGCAAAATCTTTATCTTCCCCATGGGTGTTTGAATTTCTTCTCTCAATAGGTGCACAAGACCGAGAATATTCGGAAGATCAGTTGATTGACAAGAGAGAAGAGCGGATGTATGAGCTCGGGAGGTATGGGTTGCTCGACGTCAACCAAGAAACCTGGATGTGGCAGGGCAAGTATTGAGCAGCTATCCAGCTGCTTGAACTGTCTTCATCTCAACGCTGCTCGTAGCCTGTAAGTAAGGAATGTATTCCCATCCATACAAATGACAGACCCTGGATAAACAGCCAAGTCTCCCTAGTGCTCTGTTCACACGGTGAGAGAAGCTCTTTCAACTTTTTCCGGTACTCTTTGTCAAATGCATGCGTTAGTCTAGGATTCTAGTAGCCCTAAAGCCCCCGAATGGAGTGAATTGCTGTAATTACTGGACACACCCAACTTATTGAGAGGCTTTGACTCCCAGTAGCTACCCGCTGGCCGGGGGATGCATGGCCTAGAGATTACCAAGGGGTAATCAATCTCGCTTGAATCACAGGAAACTTCATGCAATGTTAGTAATTGTTCCCAATCCGCGAATATATAATGCGATTACCAATCGTTTAGGCATTTTTCTGGGGCGCATTCGGGGTCGGGCACTAAACTCGATTACTCAGTGTGCATCTGAATGTGCCTTGAATCATTTTGGTACCGAGATGCATTCGTCGTATCAATCATGGTGCAGCGTAAAAGATGCATTAACTTATATGAGACACAATATATGAAACAATGATATTGGTATTTTAAAACCAATGTAGCCGGGTATAATATGAGTAAACATTATACAGCTCTGTGTTTGAATCGCACATCTGTTTATGAATCAGCAATTGGCATATGATATTCCAATCCACACAAACGAATGACGCCCATTGTCATTGCATTGAGAGATGTTGGTAGTTATCCAAAAAGATTGATATTCCTGCGAGAATTTCAGTTGCGTAACCGATAAAAATCATACCAGCTAGGAGGGTCTAATAAGAAGCACACTAATTATCCACGCTGATATTGAAACCAAGCTGGCTGACAGTGCAGACGCCAGAAGGTTACCAACTGGTGAACATCTAGAGTGGCTGGAAAACAAACCATTGTAGGGAGCATCAACAAGGATATATAGTTAGAGTTGATCTCACCACAATGGAAGAGTATCCAGCACTCCATCAACTAAATATTCCACCCTCAATACCAGCATTTTTGAAGCCACGCACCCGCAACGCTCAGAGAAAAATGAATGCCCTCGTTATAGGACTTACTGGTGTGCTTTCTTTTGCTCCCTTTTTGGGAGACTTGTTTGCCGCTTCTCGGAAAGACGTCGCCGTTGTCAGGGTTACTCTTGGGGAGTTTGATCTTTTCAAAGAAGGAGTGAAAACTGATACCATCGGTGGTGATATGCCAAATGTTGCCCTTTTTGATGCCAACGGCCAGCGGATTGGATTTAAAAATGGAGAGAAGCATGGAAAGGTTAAAAGCGGCCAGGGATATGATATTACAGTCGAGCCTTTCGAGTCTGACAACAGGAAGGATCCGGAGTATGTCACCATATCAGCTTCAAGCAGCGATGCCATTTGCATTGCAGCTGTTACCGTCACTGGTGCAGACCAAGGTAAAAAAATGGACAAGACCTGGGCTTGGAATGGTGGATTTGGATTCTTGTGCGGCAACCTGGCTTGGTATCCGTCTAAAAAGTTGACAACCGCATCAGAACGATCTCCCTGCATTTGGATCAGCAACGACGGCCGTTTTCCAATGGGATTTTCGATACACATACCGGACTTTTCTCATGAAGAGCTGCTGCCTCAATTTAAGTACAAGAAAGAAACGGTATGTGATAGTAAACCACGGCAGCATTTCTACAAGGACATCAACGAGCTGCAGTGTCCCCCAGTCTTTAAAGAATTTCCCAAGTTTGACGAAGAAACCGGATATGAAAATATCACTCAAGTCTTGGTCGACGGAGTGACAACTTGCAAGCCAGCGATTGGGGAGGAAGTCAGCGACGAGGATTTGTCACGGCTGAGGAAAGGAATAAAGAACCATTCAAGAATAGGAGGTGAAACGTGGACCTATGGGATCAAGCGGAGTCATGTCACCAAACGAAGAGAGTGGCAGCCTTTGGGATGCGATCTTAAAAATGCAGTTGTTGTTTCTAAAGGCTACACAGCACGGGCTATTTGTGAACACCCTACCTCCGCAGGTCCCGACTATGGAAACAGGGAAGAAGGACTGTTTTGTGACATGTGTACGAAGAAACTGTGGCCCTTTTGCTCGGTGAAAGCAACAGCAAACTGCTTCGACGAAGAGCACCATATTATTCGTGGGGATCATCCAGGATTCAAGCGAGGTATCAATGGGACTTCTGTGCATAAGAACTATGAAGATATCCAGGTTTGGAATGATTGAATAACTCCGGCTCTTTCTCGATGCCTCTGCTGGTCGGAGGCATTCTACTTTCTGTCTGCTCCTATTTGATCATTCTATTTGTTGAAATTTCTCGCTTAGTTATGTCGCTTTAAATTATTCGTTATTCTCAAATATAGTTAGTTCACTCTGCTTTAGACACCCTGGATCCTTTTGAACCGGGCAGGGGACCCCGTCAAAAAGTAGTTAAATGCTGTCGATGAGGCTGGACCTTCGGGCATAAATCCTTTGTTACGGGACGGCCCGCTCTTTCAGCCTCAGCCAAGCCACTAGTTAACTGGTAAGTACCAAACTCGCTTGCTTTCAAATATGAGTGAACACGAGAGCCTTCAATAATAGACCTATAGCCGTGTGTGGCGAGTCTCGCCGCACGGAAAAGCAGAGAGCATGACAGAACCAACGCGAAGTTGGGAAGCAGTTGAATGGTATCAGAAAGGTATAGCAAAAAACGATAAGGGGAACCAATTCTCTGCTCAGGTCTATAAACTGTTTCTATGACAACCGACTGCCGATGATCAAGCAAGTGGACCAATCTTCACTTCCTCACTAGCAGCCATTTCTTTCCATTTAGCAATCTTTTCAAGTTCACGTTTGCTGCGTCGCTTCGACGACAATAACTCTTTGAATTGGCCCTTTGCACCGTGTTTGAGTTTAGTAATCATATCAGCGGCTTCACCCTTTGTAATCTTCTCAGGTATTTCCTTCCCAAGTTGTTTCCTCAGGTATCCTATCTGTCCGGGGCTTGCACGCCTCTTTCTCCACGGCTGCCATGAAGCAATGTATACTGGACCTCCAAATATGCGAGAGGCAAGGGTATCAGCAGCATGAATTGCCTGGACAAGGTCAACCGCAGATACCACCTCGCGAGGACGACTGAAAGGGCTTTTTGAGTTACCTGACGGGCTTAAGCTGACAACATGGTGGACTGAAAACAAGCCAGAATTACCTTTCGAGATTGTTAATCTCCCTGCAGGAGCGCTAAGAATGTAGCGATGCGGGCTAACTTGGACCCACGCATTTTCGCTGATAGAACGGATATGATCTTCACCAGAGGCATCTTGCACCAGGTCGTGGACAGAATCGTAGTCGGTGAAACCAACAACAATGTCTTCGTCCTCTGGGGAACGGCTCTTTTTTGTTCCCTGGCCTTGGGCTGGATCTTTGTCAAAGTTCTCTCTTTTCTCTTTAACATCTTTAGCAGAAATCTTGTCCAAACCTTCATCAGGATGTAATCCGAGGAGGGTAGGTGTGGTGAGAACTCCACAATTCAAGGAAGCAACCATATCAATGATATGGCAATTGGCTTTATCTGGATGTAGCCGAAGACCTCTCCCTATCATTTGAATCAGGAGATTCTTCGATCTTGTAGGTCTTGCGAGCAAGACACAGTCGATATTCGGAATATCGGTTCCTTCAGTGAAGAGCCCACAGTTAACCAGAACTGGAAACTCGTAATTCCTAAAAGCTTCTAGTTCTTTGGCACGGACATCCTTGGGAGTCTGGCCTGTGATATACCTAGCATCGACTCCGATCTCTCGAAACTTGGCCGTCAAGTCACGTACATGGGCAATGTCAACGCAAAACACAAGTGTGGATTTTCTTTCACCGGCCTTCGAGCGCCATGAAGAAACGGTGATATCATTGGTGGTCTCCGTATTGACAGCAAGTGAAAGCTGATGAGTCTGAAAATCTCCATTGGGACCATCACCGACGCGTGAGAGATCCACATGCGATTTCACCGTCGTAAAAAGGGCAGCGGAAAGCCAGTTCTCTCCGATCATGTCAACATAATCTTTGTGGTATACAATGTAATCAATAGCTGCACCTAATTTCAGCCCATCAAACCGCGAAAACGTCGCAGAAACACCAACTAACGCTGGAGAGTCTGCATTCGCCTCACCCAAGTTGAAATGAGCTAGAGCTTCACGATAGCTCGGTGCAACGATATGGTGTGCCTCATCAACCAGCACAAGTTTGAATCTTTCTGGATTGTATTTCTCAATTCGGCCTTTTGAAAGGAGGCTGCGTATGGATGCAATTGTTATATCCGCCATCCCAGTTGCATGGCTGTTTGCCATTTCAATTTCAATGGTCTTGTCGGGGTAAGCACGCGTGCAGTGCTTTGCAGCTTGCTCAACGAGCTCTTTTCGATGGACCAAAATAAGCGACTGGGTTCTTTTATGGTCGGGAGAATTTACCCGGCCGATTAGTTGAGTAAATATCACCTGTTGAAATATACCGAGTTAGCATCTAATTGAAATCTCCATTACAAGTTGATCCATACAGTTTTGCCGCTACCCGTAGCAAGAGATATCCCTAGTCTCTTGTGGCCCGCGTCCAGATGGGATAGAACAGACTGTATACATTCTTCCTGATAATCCCGTAAACGGATTTCGGGGTTCAATATTGGAGCTCCGTCAGACACTCGAACCGACGCCGCTGAAGAGAAGAGACGAGCCCCGATATGCGCGGCAGAGTATCCCCGGCAGTATAAATTTGCGAGGCCCAGCCATCTTGAGCACCGAGATATCTTCTGCATCTTCCATGTTGCTTTGCTTGGATGTTTGCTGGAAGTCGCGAAGCTTTTTGATAAGCGCTAAGTTAACTAAGTTAGTTAACTAGTTATGCAAACAGGACAAACCATGCAAACAGAGCTTGCCCTTGCATAAAAGAAAAAAAAGCAAAGCAAAATCTGAAGAACAAACGACAGCAGCCAGCGGATAGGTAGCTAC